ATCCAAAGATGTTTGGGCTTGGCAGCGGAAAGGGCCTGGGCTGGGAGTAGTCAGGGAATAGGTACCCCCCCGATCATTGTGCCTTTGGGCTTTCGTGGGTGGGCTATCACCTTGGGGTTAACAGGCTCCGAGTGGTCACGAGGTTAACGGACCCTCGGCCCATGGCCTGTAACCTTTCCTTCCAAAAAAAAAAAAAAAAGAGCAAGGTCTGAAGATTTGCTACTTGCTTGAGAGATTCCGACGACATCATCAAAGGTCTGTCGAGTTGAATTTATACTTTTTGTTTTTCATATTGTAATTGTACCAATTGTCACCGAAGGCCTTATTTATACTTTATTTATTGATTATCTTTGGATTTGATAAAAAATCAAATAAAATTTATACTTCTCCCGTCTCAATTATTTAAGTAGTCTAAACTCTTACCCATTTTCATTTTTGTTACTCATTTATGATGAAATATTTGAACACAAAAGGGTAAAAACGAAACTAGTGGACCCAAGTTATAACTAATTGGATCTAAACTAATACTCCGTATTAATTGGACTACGGTCTGCTAATGGATCTAAATGCTATGCTTGGTGCTAGGCATGGTTTTAGAAATATGGAATAATTATTGTAAGTCTTGTTGTAATTAATATTAGTATTATTGTTACTGTTACTACTACTATTATTAGTATTTTTATTAATATTAATATAATAATAATAATAATAATAATAATAATAATAATAATAATAATATTATTATTATTATTATTATTACTACTACTATTATTACAATTGCTATTGTGTGCACAAAGTATTCATAAAGAACATTTGATACACTTTAATAAACTTTAACGTCTAATGATTAAAATGTCTTGCAGGTCTTCTTGAACAACTCAAGCATAAATCAAGAGTTGTTTATTGCGCTTAAACAATCCCAATTTTTATGAAAATAACAAACAAGAACACCAAGACAAAAACATTCACTCTATAACGAATCTTAAGAAAAACGCTCAACTTATGTGGCTAAGAAGTTCATTTACCTTAAAATTTAACAAAACACAAGTCACAAAAAAGATTCACGTATGAATTCGAGAATCATTTAACTAAAATATGGAGTTAAATTAGCTTCAATGATAACCGAGTTCGACATACCAACCAACTTATGAATTCAAATTTATAATTCAATCAATTTTACATCAATTTGCGCAAAAATTGAAGAAACTAGTAAGAATCAATTTTCATTCATAATTTTTAACATTTTCATTATCACTTAAACACAACTCAAATTCTATTTTTTCATCATCTTTAAAGCAATCGACATTCTCATTTCGTTGTCATTCTTGTTTTAGTCCTCATCCTCTAGCTTCATCATGAGAGATGAAGTATCGCTATGTATAATAAAATACTCCGTATAAAACTCCAACGGCATTCTCATTTCGTTGCCCCATTTGCGGAGTAACTAAAACGCCGGGGGGTGAAGTACTAGCCATTATTATTATTACTCCTTCCGTCCTAAAATTATTTTCACAATTTGACTTTTGCAGTCAAATTTTTTAAATTTTGACCATAAATTAAAGAAAAAATACATTGAATTTTCATATAAATTTATTAGGAATAGATTCATTTTAAAATATAGTTTTGCAATATATAATTTTTATAAAATATATTTATATAAAAATTGAGATATTGATGGTCAAAGTGTCGCATTGGAGACCGTGAAAAGTCAAATAAGAAGTTAATTTTAGGACGGAGGGAGTATCAACTTATAGGAAGAGATGGAATGATGGATATAGTCATGGAAGAAGACGTCTAGTCGTGAAAAGGACAACACCCCATCTCGATTATTATTATTATTATGACATAATAATAAGTGAGATTCAAAAGTTATGCTCATAACATAACTACGTGGAGTTGTAACTTGTTAGAACCAAAAGTTTGGGAATGCTCATGTATTTTTTGTAGCATAAAGATTTATATTTTTAGGCAATGCTCTTGTAATATTTTGTGGCACAAAGATTTATATTCATATTTTTTAATACTTTTCCCGTCCCAATTTATAGTGTCTGTTTACTATTCACGGAATCAAAAGTTATGCTCTTAACATAACTACGTGGAGTCATAACTTGTCTGAACCAAAATTTTGGCAATGCTCATGCATTTTTTGTAGCATAAAGATTTATATTTTTAGCAATGCTCTTGTAATATTTTGTGGCACAAAGATTTATATTCATATTTTTTAATACTTCCTCCGTCTCAATTTATAGTGTCTGTTTACTATTTATAGAGTCAAAGTTTATTCACTTTCTTTCTCTATTTTCGTTAGTAATTTGATAAAATAAAATATTATTGTCACTACTAGTTTTGTAGGTCTCTTGATGGAGTATTTTAATATGTAATTTTTATTTTTTAACTCTATACTAATTGTCATATAAAATTATTTCAAAATAATTTCAGTCAAACATTATAAACTGAAACAAGCTCTTTAAATTGGGACGGAGGGAGTACAGATTTATTACTCATATGTAAGATGTAGAATAAATGTAATATTTTGTAGCCTAACATTCATATTTTCTAATGATTGGATACTTTATTAATAATAATAATAATAATAATAATAATAATAATAATAATAATAATAATAATAATAGTCTATCTTCTCTATATTGAATAATAAAAAATAAATGATTAAATTTTTAGTTATTGATTATCGTCGATAATTTTTTCTAATCTATATACGAATTGATTATTTTTATTTCATATATCTAATAATTCTAAGAAAAAAGTTATTGATTGTTTTACAATATAAACGATTATTATAATATAAATGATTATTATAATTTTTAAATGTTATTAACATGTGCTAATCATTTTAAGCTTAAATTGAACTAAATTTAGATCAGATCACATCCAATCAGATCAGAGTAGATTATATTCAATCAGATTAGATAATACCATATCATATAAAATTTCAAAAAATGGGATCAGATTAGATCAGGAAAACGGAATGCAGCCTTAACCTTAGATGATTCAACAGATGCAGATTCAATGGATGCGTTGTCTCAATCTCGAAATTTGGATAATTTCGTTTCTTAGTTGACATTATAATTTTAAAAAAATGAGATGGATTCGCACAAAATGAAGATTGGTACGAATTTGATTCAAATTGAAGTTCGAAAAAAATGAAGAGTCAATCGATCATTCTAGCTCTGATATAATGTTGATTTTGAACAATCTATTAAACAAATCCACGAAGATTTTTAAGACCTTATTAAGATGACGATGGAGAATCACGTAACAGAAGAGGAAGAAGATAACAAAAAAGCATTTGTCTTGATTTTTATGTAATATCTCATCAGAAAAATCTCCCTAATATAATAATGCTCCATGTTGTTATCTTCTAGTCTCTCTTCCGTTAACTGTACTATTCATCCTTAACTATATTATTCACTGATTTCACTCCTATTTGAATCTGACAAATCGGTCGGATTTAAATTCGGTCACTTCGAGTTTGGGTTATTTTGGGTTCGGGTCAATTTGGATATGGGTTGATAACTGTTCATGACCCAATATCATCGGGTTCGGGTCGACCCAACGAGATTTGACTTTGGTTTTTTAAATTCACATTAACGCTTACATTTTCTATTAAATAAATTTAAAATATCAAAAAATATGTATTACATCTATTAGATTATTCTATTTTATATCCTAAAAAAATTTAGTTATAAGGAATTTAAAAAATGCTTAAGTTTAAAAAAAGTAAGATAATTATGCAATATTATTAAAAAAAGTTCCGAAAATATAAATTTATATATTAAAAACGAGTAGTAAAGTGTTTGATTTTGAAAAACATTTACTTTAGCGGGTCCAGGTCGGGTTCAGGTTTGGTCGAATTTGACCCATATTTAGCTGGTCATTTTGAATTCGGTCAACTTTGGGCTTGGTCATCAAGATCTTTGTTCAAAACCTAGGTCGAGTTTCGAGTAAAAAACAGGTCGGGCAATTTTTTACAAGACCTGCCCCCACCCCATCCCAATCTATGTATGTGGCTCACATTCCATCTCTATGTAAATTCTTGTTGTTCTCCTTCTTCCTTCTCATCTCCAACCTGTTTATTTTAAATACTCGGGTATACAGTTTATTTTAAATACAATTTTTTATCTACTTTAATTTATCTACATTTTTTTAAGGTGAGTTTTGAGTTGCACTTCTATTATATATATACACCCGAGTTTAAAAGGCATAACAAATGCTAAAATCCAATACTTGTGTAGCTGATTTTTCGACTTGCATTCTAAAAACTTTCCCAAGATTACAGTTTGAACTCTTAAAAAAATACTTTCTTCTAAAAAGCAGTTCCAAACAATAGCATTACTCTTTGAAAAACAAACCTATTACTCCCTCCATCATAATGTGTTTGTATAAGTACAGAATAGAAGAATGGCTAAAAAAATAATTGGGCCTATATTAGAAGGGGTATCACCAAGACATGCTGTTTTTTGTTTCTGTTTTTTCCCATGCCATTGAGGGCATAGGATGAAGACGAGTAAGAAAGTTACTCTTTTTTGTTTCTGTTTATTCCCGTTTCTTTTTTTGAAGGGGTGGGGGGTGGGGGGTG